ACTAACGAAGTCCTATATATATAAATTAATCATCTTTCCGAAGTGGGCGGCGAGATTTCGATTCCGGAGGCCAGCATCTTCCAACGAGCAACTCCTTAACCAAAAATAGTGTCGACAGTGCCTCTCAAAATGCGTTGAAATATCTTGCGTTATAGGGGTAACACATTTGCATAAAGTTAGACTCTGATGTGCACGAGTGGACATCCAGCACATGTAACATAAAAAAAATTGATGCTAACACTTCTGGTATATTTCACATCTCTTGGTAAATACTTTAGTGTATTTCAATAGTGTCAGCTAGAAATATTTTTGTCATTTGACTCAGTGTGTTAATATCTTTCTTCTTGAGTGACTACTGCATTCCTCAAAATGAATTTCTCAAAGAATTTCTTCCTCCTTATTTTCCTTTATGCATCGCAGGTATGGCGATGTTGTTGATTTCAATAATGTCTGTTAGAAATATCCCTTTAGCAAGTATTGAGCATCCTTGAATTAAAATCTCCTAGGATTCATGACTTCTTCTACCATTTCTTCCATCTCCAAGTACTTGACTTAGGGTTTGTTCTCTAGGGACACCACTTTCATCGCTTATGGCTCCTCGATGATCTGTTGGCTGAGTCTTAGTGGTAATCCATTCCCTAAGTAAACACACTTCAATAATAGGCCAGCCAACTTATTTTCTTCTTTGTCGACATGTTTGATTATGATTTGGTTGAACTTCCAAATCTCAACTTTAGCCTTGTTAAGGTACTTGATCATCACTTTCTCTCTGGCTTGAATTCTCTATTTGTTTGATTTACTACCAATTGTGAGTCCAACTTCATAACTTGGAATCGAGCGCCCATTTCGTAGAATAGATGCATTCTAGCGATTAATGCTTCTTACACTGCTTGATTATTTGTTACCTCAAACTCTACTGCCACATAATGATACATGTGTTCTCCTTAGGGGCTGCTCAAAGAAAGACCTAATCCCGCTTCAGTTTGGTTTCAAGCACTGTTAACGTATAAGAGCGACTCCACCCAGTCAGACAGATCATCTTAACCTAGATTTACTTGTTCTGAGAAATCCATCAAGAAGTCCACGACCTCTTGTTCCTTAATAGCCTTTCAGGGAACATATGTTATGTCAAAATCTCTTAGGTCAACCTTCCATTTGAGGAGTTGTCAGAATGTTTTAGGCGGGTAGGAATCAACTTCAGCGGGTGATCTGAAATCATCCAGATTTGAACGTCAGGCAATTCACATGATGTGTTTGGAAATAGGGTTGCAACCTACGAGCCAACACAATTAAAACAAATTTTAGATTTTCCCTAATTTGATACCTGATTTTTGCTCTCCGGAGAATGCATTTGGTGTACTAACTTGAGAATTCTTTGCTCGGCTCCTCTCTGACCTGCACCGAGTCGATTGCTTTGGCTCCCACCCCCAAGTATAATGAGAGTTCTTCTTTTAGCTTCAAACATTAGAGGAGTGGCAGTTATGCTAGGGAATCCTTCAGGTTCTAAAAGGCTGACAGACACTCAGTCATCCACTATAGGCTTTCAGTCTTTCTAAGTGTTTTAAACAACACTGTGTATTTATCATTGACCTTGAGATGAACCTAGTGAGAGTTATGATCTAGACGGTTATCTTCTAAGATTTTTGGGTATTTCTTGGCGTCGACATGTTGATCAATGCTTAGATTTTTTTGGGTTTGCTTTTATGCCTTTAGGGTTGACAAGATAACTAGGAATTTGTTGTTTGAGATTCCAAATGTTCACATTGTTTCATATTATATTTTCTTAGAGTATGTTTCTTTAGACTCTTTTATATGTGTACCGTCGGACCGTCGCCACACCAATTCTCCATGGTTGTGTCGGTTGTCAGTGCGTTATTGTCAAGGAGTCATCATTCTATTGCTTATTACATTGTACTATTCTCTGAATAACATTTTCTCTCAGACCATATAGGTGATCTTTAAAATAAATCCAGGAAACTCAAAGAGGAAAGGAAGGGCAAACAATAATAGAAACAGACAAAAGAAAAATGTGGGGGAATACTTTCTTATGATAATCATTGTAGAGTGAACTCTAGAGTGTTTTGGTTCTAGAGATGCTCATACGAGAGAAATTATATGGAAACTCCCCAAATAGAGATTTAGGTAAGATACCTATTATGGAGTTCTCATTATCCTAAAAGCAAGCTCTTATAGTTAATTATATCTTAAGCAGTTATAATTGATTAAGAAAACTCCCGATTATGGTTAACAATTTGTTCTCGAAAAATTTTAAGTATTATGATCAAGGAAATAAATGTCAAAGTTCTATCCTAAGGGTAGCAGAATTCTAAGGATTCAATATTATCCTACAAAAGTATTGTTTATTTTTGTTTTGTCATGTCGTTTTGCATGTTGTTTATTTTGAGTGTGTGTTAATGTTTTGTTGTTTTGTTTTGTTATTCCATCAAAAGTTGAGCTTAAGATTCACCATTTCAACCTCTCAAGTTTCGTCCCTGTAAAATAGAGTAAGCACATTCTAATAACATATAAAGTAAATCCGGGATGGCCTTCACTTTTTGTCTTTAGTGTCCCCGTAAAGCAAAGTTAGGACAAAATTATGTTTTGATTTGTTTATTTAATTTGTTGAATTTTTAATTTTAAGACAACCCGATCAAGATATCTATGGCTCCATCGTCCAAGGGTTATTCGAGTATCAGGATCGACTTAGATTCAAAAGAGGCAATGTGTTCATCGGGATCCAAGCATCCACGACACGCTTCCAATGTCGGGATCTTGAAGTTCTCCGAGGGTTCATCTCTCGAGATGTGGGGGGAGAAGGGATTCTCTTGCTGATAAGGCACTTCAGTGCTCCCGAATAGTTGCCTCTCCACTTGCACCGAGCAAGTGTTATCTTGGTATTGTGATTCTTTGGTCCTCTCAGGGAACTTGTTCAACCTTTTACTATTGTGTGTCAGTGCCCAATCAATTATATGGTTCCTTAACCTCTGCATTCCCCATTATATGTGTTATTCCATGTCTTTTATGGCGTGTTCTGCGTTAGTTATTTCGCTCGGACGACTCACTTCTCTTTGTGATAGTTGCGTTCATTTTCTTATTGACGACATGACTCCATGCTCATCGTACCTTTCATGAGGTTGAATCCAAAACTTTCTGGGAGAAACGCCTAAGGAATAGAGCGTGAGATAGAGGAATAGAGCATAGGGCTTGACAATGAACAATAAAATCGTGAAACAATTATTCATGAAATGAGTCTCTATTTATAAGAATGGGATAGTGCAAATTATATAATACGGTGGGGGCATTTTGATCGGTAAATTATTATAGGGTCGGATGCTTAAAATTGCATCTAGTCGCATGGGGTCGGGAGTCCAAGAAGGCATCCGACCAAATTTTGGGTTGGACGACCATGTGCCAGGGGCTTGAGCCTTTGACCAGCCGGACCATTTTCCGAACGGCTATAATTTAAGGGTAGACCGGAAGAGCCAGATGACCGCTTTAAATCCGAGCGATTTTGATCGGTCACCCAGCTTGGTTGAAGAATGTCAGCAGATTCATTCGCGTGAGCTTTGCGCCAGTAGAATTTATGAGAGGTCGTCAAATCATGCTCATTTTTGTATTCTTTTCTTCTCGCGCTGGCTTCTTGGCCTGTAGATACCTGTCGGATAGATAGAGGCCCTTCAGCTGCTTCTAGAGGGTCTCAATTAGTCACACCATCATTTTTGTTGGCCATCAGATCTCCTTAGGATTCATGTAGATATATTTTAGATGTACACTTTTATATCTAGTTTTTTCTTAATGACAACACTAATTCACTCCAATTTCAAATTATTTAAGAGTCTGAGTCCATTAATTTTCTTAAACTTTCTCATGAATGCTTCAGATTAAAATAATTTTCTATGAGATCATGACAAAAATCAACCTATTTAGCGTCCATACGTTGATAAAATAAAAAATCTTAAAAAAAAAAGAACAGAACAAAACTTATACTTGGTTGTAAACATAAAATTTCAAAAAAATTGTTAATAAACAATTTCAATCTAGGGCTGTCAAAACGGCTCGTTAACAGCTGTTGTTGGTCCCGTTCGCTAAGTTAACGAGCCGAACACGAACAACACAAACAAATAATTGACTACTAGGCTACAAAGATTTATAATTAATTAAGAGTATTGATAAAGAAAATATAATAAAAAGTATTAAATTAGATTCAAATGACGTTTTAAATCTTGTCTCAATCCTTAATATCTTATGACTACGTGATTAGAGTTGTCAAAATGACTTTTTATTCGTGAACGACTCGTGTTCGGCTCACTAAGCAAACGAGCCGAACAAGAACACACTTTTTGAGCCCGAAATATAAACGAGCTGAACACGAGCTTGACGAGCTGGGTCTGGGCTCGCTCGTGTTCGGCTCGCTTACACCCCTATTTCCATCCACCCCACAGTGAAGAATCATCCCTCTAGTTTTCACTTTTACTTGCAATAAAAACATTTCAAAGGGTAGTGGGCCATAAAACATCATCAGCTAGCTGTTTCTGGTCCAAGTTTCAGATAAGATCCTGGTTCCATTTTGCTTTCTAGTACATATATCTTCAATGATTTTCTAGATGGGAATAAGCTCCTCTTACTTGCTCATGAAAATTGCAAATAAAAAATTAAAAAAAAAAAAATCTGCAAAGCAATGTAAGTCTCTGAAGGCTTTTTATTTTTTGCAGTTTTTCTTTTAATTTCAGAAGTGTTGATCCCTGTTTCTTCCTTATCCTTGCTTGCAGAATCTTCGCTTTGAATCTCTGGTCTAATTCGGTGATGGTGTGGAAACTTCTCCAAGGAGAAGAATAGATAGATCGCACAACGTTCTTTCAAGGTACATATTTAGCCATTTTTCCGGACAAGTAATTTGAAATTTTCATATTGAAAAAAACTGCATAAACCTACTTATCACTCATCTTCATAGTTAGTGTAATCAGAAATGAAAATGCCATGCATAATAATGCCTAGTTTTTTGACAAAGTACTACAACATATTCTACAAGAAAGTTCAGTAAACTCGAGCCACTGAGTTATCAATAGCAATGAAGTAAGCTCTGCCTTAGAAAATCAGGCATTAATGAACTGAAAATGACCTAATGAAAGAGAAACTAACGAAGTCCTGAGGATTCTGCCAGGCCTCAGGTGCTGAATGTAAATAAATTAACCTTGAGAACAAAAAATAAAAATTATGTCATATTTTTTCTCTTTAGTTTTATTTATGAAAGGAGCCCTGCTTATTAAAAAAGAAATTTAATTTACATTGGGCAATAGCCCGCTTTAGAGCCTTGATTGGTCCTATCATGGATATTCTTACCAGGCTTAGATATATGTTTAGATTAATTTTGTCTCCTAAATTCTGCATAATAAGCACCACAATTAGTGTCCTTAGAACTCCATATTTTATTAATAAATTTTTACTAAACTTTTTTATATTATATAGTCCACAAAAAAATTTGCTTTTTCTAAGCTTAAATATTAATAATAATCTAATTTTAATAACATTTATTAATTAGTAATCTTATTTCAACAATCTTAATGTTATAGCTTGATATTTAATCATTGCAAAAAATAATAAAATAAATAAAAAAAGAACACAAATTTTATATAAAAAACACAAGATAGGAAAAACCAGGGTAGAGAAGGAGATTTGCTATATTAAATAAGACATTATAAGTGGAAAGTATTTTGCTTATAGTTTTAGCATGACCTTTTAAAGGAAATAATTAAAAGAGAGCCAGGAAAGCAAGAACACACAGATTGCAAATGATAGACTATTATAAGCTTGATCTAATTGACTAAAAGTTCAATATGTGCGCTCACAATTTATTTCTAATTAAATTCAAAATCCACGTGATCAGAATTTCTTTATGAGATGATATGTAGAACCTACAAAATTCAGGTCTCAAATTTAGCAATCCCGACCTTAACACAAATTTTCAAAGAGTGTAGAATAAAATATTCTCGAACTCTTCTATAAAGCTTTAACGATCCGAAATGTATACCAACAAAGTCTAAGCAATGCACAAATTAAAAGTGCTTTGGTCATCATATTCAGAGTATTATCTATGATATTGCTCACAACAATACCATCATGTGTGATAACTTCACGAACGACCTAATAATAACTATCAATATGCATAGATCTCTAATGAAACATTTGATCTTTGTTGAGATAAATAACACTCTGACTATCACACATCATCGTGTCTACCCTTAAATCGTCATTAAGCTATTTAATTAGACATTCTAATGAGAGAGCATTTTTGTAAGCTTCAATAATTGTCATGTACTCAGTTTTAGTTGTAGATTGTGTCAATGTAAAATAAAATTCTAGCTAATCACACATCCATTAATAGTAAACATGTATACTGTAAGTGATCTCCTGTTAATTTCTCTTGCAAAATCTGAATTGAAATAGCTAATGACTCTATTTGCAGTTATCCCAAACTACAAACACATCTTTTTTTTCATATAGATACTTGAGAATTCACTGATCTATTTTCCAATGTTATTTAGCCAAATTACTATATACTAATGGCATTGACTATACATGCTAAATCTAAACAATAACATAACATACATAGATGAAAGGTTCTGCTACACTGGAATATGAAACTCGAGATATATATTTGATCTCATTATCAGATTATAAACAAAAAGCTAATGAAAGTCTAAAATATGTAGTTACTGGAGTACTAATAGACTTGGCATTCTGCATATTAAATTTATACAAAACACTTTCAATTTACATTTTTTGACTTAGAAATATTTTAATTGCATTTTTATCTCTCTAAATCTTCATGCCAATTTTTTTCTTTGTGTCTTGATATTTTATTTATCCTTAACAGCTATCAACATATAAGAGCAAGTAGATAATTAATCTTTTATTATTTTTCTCGGAAGTACATAGAACTATCAAACTACTTCTCTTGAACTCAGGAGCAATCATGAATAGGTCAAATTTCTTATACCACCACCTATGTGACCATTTCAAATCTTAAAGAGATTTCTTCAACAAACAAACTAGGTATTTTTTCTGTAATAATGAAAACTTTAGGCTACTGCAAATAGATGCCCTATTCAAGTTATCCATGCAAATATACAGTTTTTACATTTAACTTCTCAAGATTAAGGTCATGCTTATACCTGATACTAAGTAAAGCTCAAATCGAGCTATGTTTGACTATAGTGGAGAACAATATATAAAGTGTACACCTACAATTTTACTGATTACCTTTGAAATAAGCCTAGTCTTATACCAGCCGTCTTCAACTCTTAGTGTACATTCCTTCATCTTAAACACTCATTTTTAACAAACATTTTTCTTATCTTAATGTAATTTAACCAAATCCCAAGCTATATTTCTATGTAGGGATTCGATCTTCTTTTGAATAGTGATCATCAACTTATTGGAGTTAATTAAATTCAGAGCTTCATTATAGCTAAAAGGTTCTTCATAATACTTGATACCTTCAACTATATTTGGAGCATAAGAAAGAAAATAAACCTCACCATACTTTTGAGGTAGCATAATGCATCTTTTTGTCCTATTCTAGTTAATATAATATTGTGACGGTTGATCTCGGTAGGAAATTAATATCTTCATCATTATCACAAATTGACTTAAAGTTTATGCTCGAGGATGTAACTGTATCAAGCCAAAGCTCCACTTATATGTTAGACATTTTTTATTGATTATCTTTAGATTATATAGTAAATTTTGTGTGTAACATTACAAAACTCATTAAGCACAACATCTCTTTGAATTATCGCTTTCTTGATTTCTAAGAACCATAACTTAAAACCTTTAACTCAAATTTTATAATCCAAAAATACACACTTTATAGATTTAGACTCTAATTTACCATTATTAATATGAGCATATGTGGAGTAACAAAAAATTCTTAAATTAAACCAATTTATAGGTTTACCTGAACAAATCTCTTATAGAGTTTTCTCATCAATAGCAATGGAAGGAGAGCGATTCACAAAGTCTTAAATTGTAGAATCAGCTTCATCCCAAAATGATTTTAAGTATTCTGTCATTGTATTGTTTGCAACAAACCCTCTCCATTTTTGTTCTACTCATGTGCTCAAAATTTTTTTGAGGTGTGTGTCAGACTATGAAGTCTCTTAAATTTTTTTCAGATTTGTAGAAGGCATTAAATTCTCCTTAACATAACTTCATCCCATTATTAATGTGAAGATATTTGATCTGCTTTCTTGTCTACTTCTCGATCATGATATTCAATTCTTTAAATCTACTCAAAGAACAAACCAAGCATTTCTGGCAAAAATCATCAATGAACGCCAACATATATCTAGTTCCTCCTTCATATGGTACAATAGATGGTCTCCAAAGGACAAAATGTTTGTTGTCTAAAATTCCATTAATATTGTGAATATCAACATTGAACTTAACACTTCTATTTTCTAAATACATGGTATTAAAAAAATCAATTTAATAATACTTTGACCCTTTAGAAGTTCTCTTCCACTTAGTTTATCCATTTCATTCTCAATCATATGCTCAATGCGCAAATGCTAAGATCTGGTTGCTTCATATTTTGACATTGAAGTAGTAACTGCTACATCACCTACTATAGTAGAGCCTTGTAAGACAGGTAGTTCTGCTGCCATCTTCTATCCCTTTATCATAATAAGAAATCCTTTATTGAATTTCAAAAATATAACTTGACCAATGTACTTGTACCCTCTAGCATCAAGTGTACTTAAAAAAATTAGATTCCTTTTTAGATCTGAGACATATTACATATCTCCAAGTTTTTTGACGATTCCATAAAAAAAATTGATTCTAATAGTTTCAAAACTAATTATTTTATAAGGTGCATTATTACCCATTAACACGATACCATTTTATATGTTAAAAACCAATCCCTATTTGGATACACTTGAAATGTGCAAGCTGAATCAAGAATCCAAACATCATAAGGTTCTTCGTTGGAGAAAACTAATAGTTCACAATCATTAAAAGCTTCTTCAACATCATTGGCTTCAACAAAATGATATGAATGTAATTTTTTTTCTGATTTGAAGTTTTTTTTTTATTCTATAACTTATAACAATCAAATTTGATGTGCTTATTTATTCTTACAGTAATTACATATCTTATCCTTATTTCTAGATTTCGATCTACACTTTTTATCAGCACTAGAACTCCTCTCTTCAGTTCTACCTAAAACAAAAAGGCCTTTTCCTTGAGCAATAGGTTCTTTCATAGGTTGCTTCATCATCTCTAGAGATAATAGAGCATCATATACTACATCTAGAATAAGTTTCTCTCACCCATATTTTGTTACTCTTTTTTTAAAATTTTATTCCTCCAATGTTTGAGATTGATATTTATACACCTTTTCAACACTAATTTAAATGCTCATCATCATTGCTCATCATCATCAATCCAGAAGGAAACTGCCTCTTAAAACTCTGATGGACTCCACATATGGAGAAATATTTTCATACAGAGTACACAGGCAGAGTTGTGTGCGTAATAATCCTTCAATAATCTCTATTTTGTAATTATTAAAGGATTATTGAGAAATTATTGAGGTATTAATTTTAATATCAATAAATTTTCAATAACCTTTGCGGGATCAAATCAGTTATTAGGGGGATAATGTGCGATTTTCCGTGTTAACGGAGCACTTCGTTTGTCTTCATAACCTTCTCACATCGCTTCCCTGTCTGGTAGTCCCCACTACGCCTTCGCCCGGCTTCCTCCCTCTCCATGCCGAGTTCGTTGCCACCTTCGTTAGCTCGATCGGGAAGGGCCGCAGGTCTGCAAGCCTTCCTAGGAAGGGAACGTTTCCGACAC